TTTTTTTTTTTTTTTTACAAGGATTGTGAAAATGGCTTGAAACTGACTAGAAGGCTTAAGGTGGGGTTTGTCAGTGAGGTTGCCTATGGAAACTACTGAGAAGCTCAGAAGGGGAAGCAAAGTGTAGCAAGTGGGAATTCCAGAGTTGCAAAACAGATGTAAATTGAATTGCTCTGCAGTCAAACTAGAATAAAATTGATTTGACTGCTGAAGAGACACCATCACAGAACACAGCAATACATTGCTTGTGCCAAACTAGCATATATGCCTTGTACGGAAGAGCCCTATCAGATTCTATGATGGTGGCATTATACAATTTGCTTTTGTGAAGATAGTTTGCAGTGTTGTCTGCATACTCTTTGTAATGTATTGTGTTGCACTGCCATTCCCAATATAATCCCAAGCTGCAGAAAAAGTTCCCTGTGTTCATTTTGGGATGGAAAGGTCTGAGACTCCTTAACATTAATCCTGTTCTCCAGTTTCTTATTCTGACATTGGTTTTTAATGTACAATCACACTGTTTAAAGCCCAGCATAATTATTGCTGCAATTTATACTTTGACACAACTGGTAATCATTTACACCTGTAAACTCTGGAATATCCAAGATTACAAATATGTTTGTCACCCACTTCCCTAGCCATTTTGAAATTAAAGCATCAGTGGTAGTATAAATGATAGTTATGTCTGTATTCCTTTTTTTTGTTTGTGTGTGTGTGGTTTGCTTTTACCAGCTATGCTGCTGGGAGAGAATCATCCATGGAAGCTGCAATCTCTATTCCTCGCCTGCAGACTCAAGCTAAAACAGATGTGTCCCTGCATCGGTCAAGTGATGCAGTGATATTCCAGATTGACTCCTCAGCTACCTCACATGGCTCCTCAGTTTCAGAAAGGATTGTCTTGAGATATGGTAGGTTTCTTTTTCAAAATGAAAGATTTTCGTCTGCCAAAAAAAAAAAACCAGACTTTTGATTTGTTTATGTTAAGACTTCTCCAAATCACACCCCAGTTCTGGCCCAGCTCCTTCAGGAGCTGCCTATTGGAGCTCAACTCTTTGTAGTGACATATAGAGAGAGAACCAGAGCATACAAGCCTGAAGGGTACAATTTATCATAAAATCAGAATGTATCACACACCTCTGGTTGAGCATGTCCTTTGCATGAAAACTGTGATCTCCACCATCATTCTCTCTGTTCCTCTCATCTTTTCAATATACATCTCTACCTCCCCATGTCAGAGTAAATATCTGTATGGTAACTGATAGGATTTTTTTCAATTTTGTAATCCAGATTCTCTGGGAAATAATATGAAGTCATTTGTTCTGGATTTCAGATACAGAAAAAGTGGAGGTGCAGTGGAACTCAGGCACTAGTGCTCCCCTGAAGAGAATGTCTGCCAGTGTGCCTGGAGACTTGAAAGGTTATTCAAAGTCTCTGCAGAAAAGTGCAAATGGACTGCTGGATCACAAAGTAGCTAATACTGATATGACAGTCCGGCACATCATTTCACATTTTATTGTGGTAAGTAGATGTGTCTGTTATAGCCTATGCTTGTCAAAATATCTGGTGTAGCTGATGATTTCAGATTATTTGAGTGTTCTAGCTGTAGAAGGTTTCAGTATTCCCCAAGGAAGGCCAAGGTCCAGTAATGGCCAAACATAACTTTGGCAGTGGAAATAACATACAGTGTGGAGATGATACAGTGACTCTTTCTCCATGCAAATTGTAACTCAAATTGTTGCAGTACTCATGACAAGAGAATCTAGTGTAGGTTCTTCTCTCATGTTTCAGTTTCTCATATGATCCCCAGCAGTGTGGAAAGAAGTGACGCTCTGCAGCAATTTTCATACAACTGGAAAACGTAACACAGGACCATATTTCCACTGTTTTTAGCATTTCTTCCCTGCTAGATGGGTTTGAACTCTCTGAATTGTTCCTAAACATATGATGCTTGTATTGTGATAACTTTACTATGATTTTTCAGGCAACCAATACCTGGCTACAAAAGGCATCCAAAGATATTCCACATGTCCAGAATTTACAGGACAAGTTAAATAAACTCCAAGAGCTTGACTTTCAAATCATGGATATAATCACCATTCCTGAAGAACTTTTCTTTAAAAGGTAAAACAAAATATGAGTTACCTTTGTTTGTTTTGTCTGATGCTGGCCAACCCCATTATAGTTGTGAAGCTATTTGAATTTCCAAGTTAGCCTTTCCCAACTTGAATGCATCCAGAACTATGGACTTCAACTCCCAAAATTCTGCTGCCTGCATAGACATTAATGAAAATTCTGGGACATGAAGTCCACATATCTGGAAAGCACTGAGGTTGGTGAATAAACACTCTCTCTCTCTCTCTCTCTCTCTCTCTCTCTCTCTAAAGCAAGAGCTAACTGGATCTTAACAGGTGTTAACTTCAAGAGATAATTTCAATAGGATTTTTTCCAAGCAAGTTTACAACAATGTTTTTTAGTTATTGCTTTTGTTTGCTGTCTACTGAAATGGGCATATGTTGAAGAACAGCAATGCATTTTAAATCTCACAGTGCATAATTTTGTGTTGCAGTGATGGCAAGATTAAGTACGTTTGGAATAAGGAAAGTACTTCTATTACTATCCCAGTGCCATTCGGCGGAAAATCATCACAGGATATGAGCATGCCCAAGACTATAAGAGCACCACCATTGGTGATGGAATCACTGGGATTAAATATGCCATCGCAGGAATATAAAATTCCGCAATTCACCGTCCCAGAGTCTTACACACTTCGAGTACCTTTGTTGGGCACTTTTGAGATCATTTCCAACTTGTACAACAATTACTACAATTGGTCCGGTTCCTATACTTTAGCTAACACCACAAGAGATACCTACAATCTGAGAACAAGTTACTTTATGAAAGCTGATTCTGTTTTGGACTTACTTTCATATAAAGTACAAGGTAAGCATCAGTTAGTGCTGTAAAAACAGATTAATTAAGCATGTGCTATGTTTTCCTGTCAGTACACTGCTTCCCTGTCAAAAGTCAAAAACTCTTTTCTCTGAACACAAAAGGTCAATATGAATGATTTTAATATTTCATATTTACACAGTTTAATGAAGTCTCTCCCCAAGTGTAATAATTCTTACAGTTTAATTATTAGATTCTGAAAATGAACTCAACATGTTAAGTTTTGACTGTTCATGCAGAGAACTCTTGCAGCCTGGTGACATCTGTACACTGATTTGTTTCTTTTACTGTATTATATTAACTGTGTGTAATGGAAAGAAAGCTGTATAATACTCTGCAAACTTATTGTAAAGCATTTCACAATTCTGTGTCTGACCTTGGAGCAAGGTTATGAATCAGGAGTTACTGTCATACAACAGAGATGGGGGCTGTGAGATCTTGTGTCTACCCAACATCACCTAGCAATATTAGTCTTTCCCATACTGGTGCCCTCTTTGTATTTTAAGCCCCAGAGGGCACAATTGTTGGTCATGTGGGTTGACAATTTGGGAGTTGTAGTCTAATACATCTGAAGGGAACCATGTTAAGAATGATTACATAGTTCATGTTATGGGTATAAACCTCAAGCTTAGGCACTGCTCCCATTGTTCTTTTGATGCAGCAGTAAGGAGGAAATCAGAACTTTCCACCTCATCTCTTACTAAGTATCTTGTTTTCTTGATATTATGCTTTAATCCATATTAGCTTTTAACCAATGGTTTAATAAAACAAGCCAGAATCAGAAATCAAGAAATTGAAAGTGACTTCAATTCTTGGCCAGGTTTAGGTACGATAAACTGCAGTTGGCTAAAAATGAAAAAAGTTTGTGTTCTCCTGCTTGTAGCTATGCTGGGAATAGGATGCTCATCAGCTAGTGTTCATGTATAGCTGCAGTTCAGTCTGTGCAGGAATATGGAATGGTTATCCAGAATGTTGCTCAACTAAAGCTCCCAGAATTTCTCATAACCAGCTTGTGGCTGGGCTATGAAAGCTGCATTCAACAACATCTCTCAGGCCACAGGCTGTCTGCCTCTGAGTTCAAATTACACTCGAATTTGATAATGAGGCAAGAACAGCATTAAATTCTTGGGTCCAAAATTCAAGCCTAGTTCATTATTTACTATATAACACTGATTAAACTTTTTGAGTTATTTCCAATACCCAGCTATATGCTGTGATCACTTACTTGCTCCTATATGTTTATGAATATATAAAAGAGGTCATGAAAAAGCATTTCTACCTCAAGATATAAACACCAATTATAAAAAGTTTATATTGTGAGAAAGTAAAAGCAAATTTAAAAGGAAGTTGCTTTCATCTGTAATTTGCTACAGCTAACACCAAGTCAGTCCAACATGCCAGAATGTCAAATGAATTACAATCTGTTTCATACATTGAATTAAATTAACCTTGTTGTTTAGCTTTCAGTGAAACTTCCAAAGCAATCCTTGCATGACTTTTCAAAAAACTAATGTCCAAATAATCAGTTATAAAAATAGTGGGCATTAAGTCCCATTCAGAGAGCCAGTTTGGTCTAATGGTTAAAGTGCTGGACTTGGAGCAGGGAAACCTGAGTTCTAGTCATGCCTTAGACACAAAAGGCAGCTGGCTAACTTTTGTCCAGTTATTACTTCTCAGCCCTAGGAAGAGGACAATTTGAAACCACTTTTGAAAATTTTGCCAAATAAACTGCATTACCTTTCCCACGTACAGTAGTCGTCACAGGTCAAAGAAAAAAAAGACCTATTCAAGTCAGCCGCTGTGCACACTTATTTGGATCAAGGTCCCATCAAATACAGCAGGACTTACTTTCAAGTAAACAAGCATACTTCTTGCATTTTAAATATCTGGATTAAAGGATTTATGAATGATGAAAGGAGAGCAATCATTTAAAAATCACAAAATCTCCAAGTTACTAATGTTATTTTTTTTTCTTTTCTATTTTATTTCAGGTCAGGCAGAAGCAAGTTATGACAGAAATGCACTTACCTGTAATTATGAAAACTCACTCCATCACAGCCTCCTCAATTCCAATTTTAAATTCAGGAATATCAACAAATATGGACTCAATCCCACTGTTAAAAATACCATAACATTTGAGACTTCCAGTCCCCTCGGAGCTAGGTTTTCCTTGTCTGTCGACCACGATTCCAAAGAGCTTGACAATTCACATGTTGGTAATCTCAATCTGGATGGACAATTGAATGTTGCTACAGCTTTTGCCAAAACCACATATATACAATCTATCACCTCTGATAAGAATAGTCTCCAGCTGATATGGGAATCAAACCTGAAGTTTGATTCTTCCTTGTTTCAGGCTACTAACCAGATGATTCAAAAAATTACTGAGGATGCATGGACAATCTTATCTATCTCAAACATAGAGGGTTACTCTCTGACTAACAAGGCTTCCTTAAGTTATCAAAACAGCCAGCTGAAACTGTCATCAGAGACACATGGAACCCACACAAACTTTGGAACTATCAATAAGTTTGATTTAACTCTAGACAAGCAGCAAGCTATCCTTCACTCTGAGTTAAAGGCCAATTACTTAGAAAATAAATATTATGCCCTGGTATCAGGCTCTGTTAATAATCAAGGTGTTGAACTGATCAGTGACTTGTCATGGGACAATGAAAGAAACAAAGCAGAACACAAGTCTGCTTTAAGTATTAAGCAGGATGGACTGGTGAGCAGCGCAACAACAAAACTGCAGCTTCTCTTATTCATCCTTGAGAATGAAATGAATGCACGAATTGGCACTTCTGGTGCTTCTGTGAAGATTGATACTAATGGACGTGCTGGGATACACAATGCAAAATTCAGCTTGGATGGGAAACTGGCTCTCACAGAAATAGCACTTTTGAGCACATATCAAGGGAGCATTTTGGATGTGGACAGCAAGAATATTTTGAACTTCAGAGTGAATAAAGGAGATCTCCGATTTTCAAATAGTTTGACAGGGTCATACAAAGAAATGAAGCTTGAACACACTCATGAGCTGAACACTGCTGGGTTCTCCTTGACTTATGCTTCAAATTTAGATCACACCATTAGCCCAGACATATCCCACAAACATCATGTGGACCTGCAGCTACAGCCCTATTCCCTCACAGCCAATTTGAACAATGATTTGAAATACAGTAGTGCCAATGTAAACAACAAAGCCCGCTTGCAGCTTGAACCCTTGAAGGTAAATTTGGATGGTAACATAAAAGGCACTTATAGTGGCAATGAGATAAAGCATACCTATATCTTTACTTATGGAGATCTGACAGCACATATGAAGACAGACACAGCTGCAAGCATTCAGGGTGCAGCTCTTACCCATAAAGTTAATTTAAATGTTGCAGGACTCTCTTCTTCAATCAATGTCAACACAAACTGTGACTCTAAATTCTTAACCTTTTCTAATGAGATACGATCGGTGGCTGCCCCATTTACTGTCACTTTTGACATGCATACCAATGCTGATGGACGATTTTCAATCTTGGGAGAACAATCAGGTCGACTGTACAGCAAATTCCTGCTAAAAGCAGAACCTCTTGCTATTGTCTTTTCCCATGATTACCAGGGATCAACTGACCACAATCTAAATTCTGGGAAAAGATATAATACTGGATTAGATAGCAAAGCCACTGTTGTTTTGACTCCATCTGAACAAAGCAGTACTTGGAAAATGAAGAGTCAGCTGAATAATCATGTATATACCCAAGACATTAATGCCTTTAACAATGCTGAAAATATCGGTGTGGAGTTGACTGGACAAACTTTAGCTGACCTTTCTGTACTAGACTTTCCTATAAAGATATCATTCACAAATGATGAAAGAGTTAATCTAATTGACACCTTTGGTTTAAGAGAAAATATAGCTGAGCCTCAAGAGTTTGGCCTCTCTCTTTCTGTGAAGTATGATAAGAATGCAGATGTGCATGTCATCAATCTACCTTTCTTGGAAAGACTTCCAGCATATTATGAGCAATTCAGACGTTCCATCTTAACTGCACTGAAGTCCATTCAGAAGAATCTGAAGAATATGAATATAGATCAGCTTATGAGAAAATACAAAACAGCATTAGATAAGTTTCCCCAGCAGGTGAATGACTATGTGAACTCTTTCGATTTGGAAAGTAAAATGAATAAACTGAAAGAGAAATTGGATGCTTTCACAAAAGATTATAGCATAACAGTTGATGATGTTCAGGACATGTTGGAAAATGCTAAAGCTAATCTTCTAAAAGCTCTGACTCAGCTGCAAGTATTTCTGAATGAAATTGAAAAGTATATGAAGGAGAATTATGACTTAAGACCAGCTATCATACAACTTATTGAGCAAATTGTTGAAAAAATAAAAGTTCTAGATAAGCAATATGAAATCAGTATGACAATGATCAACACCATTCAGCAACTCCAATCTTTTATTTCTCAGTATGACCCTAGCCAGATAGGAAGCAATGCTGCTGCTTGGGTTCAAAATATGGATACCAAGTACAAAATCAGAGCTCAGATACAAGAAAAACTTGATCAACTGAAGAGCCAGATTCAGAATCTCGACGGCCAACATATTGCAGAGACTTTGAAGCAGCAGATAAAGACAATTGACATTGGGATACTTATAGAAAAGTTAAAAATACAATTTCCATTTGAAAAAATAAACCAAATCCTTGAACAAATCAAAGACATCATTCTAAATTTTATGGAGGATTATGCAATATTTGATAAGATCAATGGGTTCCGAGTCCACATGCATGAACTTATTGTAAACTATAATATTGACCAGCAGGCCAAAGTTCTAATGGATAAGATGGAAGAATTGTTTAAACAACAGAAAATCAAAGAAACAATTCAGCAGTTAACCATCACACTGAGAAAAATTGACATAAAATCATTCTTCAATCAAATGTTGAAGTTTATTGATGATGCCGTTAAGCAGCTCCAAACATTTGATTATAAAAAGCTAGTGGATGGAGTCAATGACCTCCTTGATACTGTGATAAAGAAGCTAAAGTCCTTTGATTACAACAAATTTGTAGATGAAACAAACAATAAAATCCAGGAAGCAACTCAAAAAATCAATGATGAAATTAAAGCCTTAGAGCTACCACAAAAAGCAGAAGCTGCAAAACAATACATCAAAGAGGTCTATATGGTGGTTTCTCACTATATTGAGAAATTAAAAGATAATAGACTTGCTGCAATAGTTAACTGGCTCAATGATCTTCTAAGCTCACCAGCAATAGAGGAACTGAAAATTAAGATGCGGGATTTCCTGGAAGATGCACGCAAAAGAATTTATCAAATGGACATTCCAATGGAATGCCAAAGATACCTTCAGAAAGCAAGCCAGCTATACAGGACCATAATCTCCTATCTAGTTGATCAATGGGACATTACCTCAAAGAAGATTAGTGTTTTAGCAGAGAAATACAATATAAAAAATATGGCTGACAGTCTGAACCAGTTTGTTGAAACTGGTTTTAATGTTCCTGAAATCAGACTAGGCATAATCAACATACCTGCTTTTGAATTCAGTCTCCGAGCCTTACAGAACGCAACATTTCAAACTCCAGACTTTATTATTCCACTAACTGACCTTCGTGTACCTTCTTATCAGATAAATTTCAAGAAATTAAATGAAATCAGAATCCCAGTTAGATTTACTACTCCTAAATTTACCATTCTAAATACTATTAAAGTTCCCTCCTATACAATTGATTTTAATGAAATCAAACTGAAGATTGTGAGGACAATAGATCAAATAATGACAAGTGACTTTCAGCTGCCAGCAACTGATATATATTTTCAAGAAGTAAAAATCAAAGATCTTTATTTTTCAGACTTTTCTTTACCAGAAATGAATTTGCCCCAGCTACAAATACCTGAATTATTGATTCCAAAGCTGAACTTGAATGAATTTCAATTTCCAGATATAAAGATTCCAGAATTCCAGTTACCGCGTATTCCATATACTGTAACTGTCCCTACATTTGGAAAACTGTCTGGTACTTGCAGAATTGCTTCTCCCTTCTTCACACTGACGGCTAATGCTGGTTTTCAGAATGTAACAGCTCATGCCCACAGCCCAGAATTTGAAGCCTCTGTTTCAGCTCTAGCAGTATCCAAAATTGACTACCTTGCTTTCACCATAACTGCAAATACTCACCTTTTGGCTCCTGAGATGAAGAAGTTAATCCTAAAAGAAAGCCTGAAGTTCACTCACTTGTACTTTAAAGCTGATCATGGAAGCGAAGTAGTATTTTTGACAACATCTGTTCAAGGAAATGCTGAAACAACAGCCAGCTTCCATACTGCACGTAATGCTATAGAACTACATAATAAACTAACAGTCAACCTGGACAAGATGATCTCCATGGAGAGCAAGACTATATATACACATAGGCTCAATGTTCCAAAGGCCCAGTTCACTAGCCAAGCTGAATTAAGCAATGAAATAAAAACAGCACTGGAGGCTGGACGCATATCAGTTACTTCCACTGGTAAAGGAGACTGGAAATGGACTGCTCATGATTACTCTGATGAAGGAACCCATGAATCAAAAGTCAGTTTCACCATAGAGAAATCAGTAGCTGCATTTGTAGCAGAAAACAAGATAAATGCTAAGTACCTAAGAGTCAACCAAAGACTGGAATATGAATACAACTTGCCAAGTTCTTCAAAGCTTCAGGTTGAGTCTACAATGGAGTCACCACAACTTGGACATAGTGTTTTAAATGTACAAGGCACAGGGAGCCTTGCACAGCTGAAAATGGAGCTATCCATTGCACACAATGCTAAGGTGAATGGGCGCATCTCCGGGACTATAAATAATGATGTGTCCTTTTTAGTACAGCCATTTGAAATTAAAACATCAACTAATAACAAAATGAATTTAAAAGTTAGCTTCCCACTCAAAATAGTTGGAAAAATTGAGTTTCTGAATAACTATGGCTTAGTGCTCAGTCCTTCCACTCAACAAGTTAGCTGGATAGCTGAGGGAAGATTTAATCAATATAGATACACTCATAGCTTGTCTGCTAATAATAATGAAGATAGAATTGAAGCTATTATATCCATGAATGGTGATGCTAACTTGGAATTCCTAAACATTCCTCTTTCATTTCCTGAACAATCTGTCCCCTACTTTGGTATAAAGACACCCCAAGTGCAAGGATATTCCCTGTGGGAAGAAACAGGATTGAAAAAATTACTGAAAACCCCAAAACAATCATTTGATTTAAACCTAAAAGTTCAGTACAATAAGAACAAAGATGTACACTCATTTCCACTTCCTTTAGATGGAGTGCACAAAACCCTTAATTATTACATAGCGAACATCAACAAGCATTTTGAAAGAGGAAGAGACAACACTTTAGCATTTCTGACAGAATCATATAACCAAGCCAAGATCAAGTTTGATAAATACAAAGTGAATCCTTCAGTTAACCAAGATCGGCAAATCTTCAGGATTCCAGGGTACACTATTCCCGTGCTAAACATTGAGGTCTCTCCCTTTTCAACAGAGCTCCCAACTTTTGGTTACCTGCTTCCAAAAGAAATGAGCACCCCACGTTTCACTGTTCCATTTGTTGGGTTTTCAATGCCATCATATACAGTAGTCCTTCCATCACTGGAACTACCTGTCCTTCGCATTCCCCAAGAGCTGAGGACACTGAAGCTTCTCAACTATCAAGTAAGCCCACTGCCAAACCAAATCTATATTGCAGCCTTTGGAAATATTACCTATGATTTCTCATTTAAATCTAGCATGATTACCCTGAATACAAATGCTGGCTTTTTTAACCAATCTGATATTGTTGCTCGACTGAGTTCCTCCTCCACTTCTGTGATTGATGCCCTACAGTATCAGTTGGATGGAACAACAAGCATCACAAGGAAAAGGGGTCTGAAACTAGCAACTGCATTATCCCTGAAAAACAAAGTTATAGAAGGAAATCATGATAGCACTATCAGTTTCACAAAGAAAAACATAGAAGCTTCAGTGGTAACCGCAGCAAAGATGACTGTGCCTGGCTTGAAAGTGAATTTTGAGCAGGAGCTTAAAGGAAATGCCAAAACAATACCAATAATCTCTTCAAAAATAAATTTAAATTATGATATTGATACCAATTATGTCAATGCTAAAGGAGCAGTTGTCCACCAGGCTAAGCTAGAAAATATTATATCTTACATATCAGCTGATACATCAACCAACAGTTTCATCAATGGTGAATTTTACAAAGGAAAACCATTTTCTGGGAAGTTAGTTCATGAAGCAAATGCTTATTTAAATTCTAAAGGTATTCGGTCAGCTTTCAAGTTTGAGACTAGTTCAAATGCTGAAGACAACTGGAATTTTGACACAAAAGAAAATGTTGCCATTGAGGCATCTACTGATCGTCTTTATGCTGTATGGGACCATAGTGGGGAAAACTATCTATATTATTACCCAATAATTGGAACTAAAGGAAATCAGATCTGCAAAGTAACTCTGGAACTAGCTTCTGGTATTACATCAGCAGCTCTTCAGATGCAAGTTGCCCAACCAAATAATTTCTTTGGTGAGACTTCAGTTAATCAAGCCCTTTCGCTGGCTGTTAATAATGGAAATCAAAAAATTGACTGGAAGAGTGAAAGCCAAATCCTTTCTTTCTTCCTTGGACATGACTTGCAGTTAGCAAATAATAATGTACAAGCTCAAGTTGACTTGTCAGCATCTTTGGGAGGGTACATGGGCTTCCTCAGACAGTTTGTGCTACCAGTTTATGACAGGAGTTTATGGCACATCTTGAAATTAGATCTCACCACTAGACCTGAAGAGAAGCAATACCTAAATGCATCAACAAATATAGTATACACAAAAAATGAAGATGGATATTTTTTCCCTATAAATATCAATCAACTGGCAGATGGATTTACAATCATGTTTCCTGAAATTCAACCAAATGTTCAAAATCCTGTTATTTCAACTCTTGACATTCCATCTTACACCATTGTTCAACGTGAGTTCAAAGTCCCTGAAAGGCTGACTAGTACATCATTTGATATCAGCCTTCCTTTGCTCCCAAAAATACAGTTTCCCCAATTTGATGTAATAACCAAATACATTAATCTGGAACAAAATAAAATTCCATACTTTGAGCTGACTATTCCCAAGTATCTCGTAACAGTACCCCAATTTACTCTTCCAAAGACACTTTCTCTTGGTAATATGAATGTGGATCTGAATGCTGCAGCCAACAAGATAGCTGATTTTGATTTACCTACAATTACAATTCCTCAACAGCAGATTGAAATACCAGCTTTCAAATTTGCTTTACCTGCTGGAATTTACTTCCCCAAATTTGGAGCTTTGTCTAGTTCTTTCAAGATCACTTCCCCATTGTACAGTGCTACCTGGAAAACAGATCTGAAGAACACAAAGGATGCTTTTGAACATTCCATTGACTTTACTGCAAATTCACCATTGCAGTTTCTGGAATACGATTTAGATGGTAAGAATATTAGGATTATGTTCTATATAATTTTATCTTTGAATTGGATATAGTTGATTAAAATTTAAGATAAGTGAATTGAAGGAACTTCAACTAGTTTATAATGTGTAATAATGTAGGTAAGATGGGGCAGGGTAATGTTTGGCAGCATGGAGAAGTTTGAAATTCATCTAGATTTAGAATGTGGGTGAAAAGTGATTAGATCTGGGAAGTATTGATTCATCCAGAATTCATGAGACTAGTTTTGCTGTATATATGTTGTTATAGCAGCTACTTTAGAACTGAAGAAACCAATAGTAACTGTTCTGTTAACTGCAGAGAATGGTTAAGGGGGAAAAAAAATCCCAAGGACATTGTGCAAAAATCTATGAAATCAAGGTATGTTTCATTTCCTAAATTTGTGAAATCCAATTTCACCTGTATGAAACCTTTCCTTTCTAGGTGTAGCCACCTACAAATATGAAGACAACCGTTTCACACTAGATACGCAGTATGATTTAGCTCATCCTGAGCTAAGTGCAAAATATAAAGGCGTCTTCATTGCAGAAATAGATAGGTAAATATTCTTTTTGTCAACATATCTGTACATCAAACTATATGCTATAAATGGGGAATCCTAATTAGTTGAGCAGTGTTACGTAAGGGAGACTTAATACCATACTCTGTAAGCATTATCTCAAAGTAAATGAGGACAAGGAATACAGATATCTACTCAGAAAAGCTTGTCTAAAGAGGCACCTTCTCTGTGTGCACTGACATGGGGAAGTAAGGCCTTTCTAAACATTCCTTGAGTTCCAAAGGCAAGATTGTGCTTATGACTGGTAATGAGGACATTTAGCGGCTTCCCTCCCAGTGGAACTCCATTAGATCTACTCCATCATTTCTTTATAGAACACCATCAAAACTTTACTTTTAATTGATTGGATTATAGAACTTCAAGTGTGGCTATTTGAAATGTTGCCCCATATTGACTTTTTAAATTAACTGATTCTTTCCATCACATCAATCCAAGGTTAGCATGATGCTATCACCTCAGTCACGCTATTTAATAATTCTGAAAAGGGTTTATCACATTTTTCCTTTCTATTAAGTTAACATAATACCTACAACACAATATAGAATATGATTTCTTTTATCAAAAAGAAATATTTTAAAATTGCATGAGAATACATAAAATCATTGATAGAAAATGAAGGAAATTTGACCAAATAGGTTGAAAATCCACTTTTTCTAAAAAAAAAAAAAAAAAGACCCAATTCAAGTGTTGACTGAGAACATGCATTAATAGGCATCTGCTGAAAATCAAATGTAGATTTTATATATTTTTACTCTTTATCCACCTAGTCATCCAGAGTGACTAACAGCAATTATTACCGACAATCATATAAACTAAACTAAGGTTGTACCCAGTAGTGGCTTTGAACTAACAGGCTGAATTTATCCTTTTGCAAGGTGAGGCACCTAGTATTTGCCAATCTGTCTTACCTACTGTGGAAGAATGCCCTAAGAACTGGTGACTGACAAAAATTGCATATTTCATTTTATACATGGATGCATGCTTTCAACTTGTGGAAAACTATTATCATATATAAACCAGTAGCAATAAAACAGCAGAAGTAATTAATATTAAAACCAGTCAAATAAAAATACTTATTGATAATATATTTAAATAGCCCCTAAAAGACATGCACAAACAAAATGGTCTTTGCTGATGCTGAAAATACTTCAGAGTTGGTGCCAGCCTAGACTTTCTGAGTAGGCCGTCCCAAAGAAATTGAGCCTCTATAATAGGCCATGATTTTAAACTTTACTTTGTATTAATTAGCAATTAACTTATCCTGTGATTACTTTGTGTTTCTTTTAGAATTGTTTCGGACACAGTATCCCTGAACATCACTAGTCCAACTTTCACTGATGTCCAAATGCACTACCAGGGAAATGGTTCAAGAGTTTCTACACTGATATCATCTTCTTCAGCTGGTACTCTTGGTTTTCTTATCAGTCTAGATGCCAGTATTCTCAACAGCAAGATTTTCTACCAAACTCAGGTAGGCAAAGATAAATTAGACTATGTTCCATAGTTCAAATGACTTTCAGTTTTATTCTGACAAAGTTGAACCGACTTCAGTGGGACCTAAGTTCAATTACTTACACGTGGTTAAACTCCACTACTATGTTAGTAACATTATGATACTGAAGCCCCTACGCAGGGCTGGCTTTTCCCTTAGTTGCAGCTTTAATTTTGTCCTTCCTTACACAAACATTTTTTTTCAGCATCTTGTTGCAAAGTCAACTCTCAGGCCCTATTGTAGAAAGGTGGGTGGTTGTTGTTCAGTCCTTAAGTCATGTCCAACTCTTCGTGACCCCATGAACCACATCACGCCAGGCCTTCCTGTCCTTCACTGCCTCCTGGAGTTTGCTCAATTTCACATTCATTGCTTTGGTGATGCTATCTAATCATCTCAAACTCTGCTGTCCCCTCCTCCTTTTGCCTTCAATCTTTCCCAGCATCAGGATCTTTCCCAAAGAATCCTCTCTTCACATTATGTGGCCAAAGTATCTGAGCTTGAGCTTCAGTATCAATCCTTCCAGTGAGCACTCAGGATTGATTTCCTTTAGGATTGACTAGTTTGACCTTCTAGCAGTCCAAGGGACTCCCAAGAGTCTTCTCCAGCACCACAATTCAAAGGCATAAATTCTTCGGCGCACAGCCTTCCTTATGGTCCAGCCCTAACAGCCATACATTGCTACTGGAAAAACCACAGCTTTGATTATGCGGATCTTTGTTGGCAAGATGATGTCTCTGCTTTTTAATATGCTGTCTAGGTTTGCCATAGCTTTCCTCCCAAGGAGCAAGAATCTTTTAATTTCATGGCTGCAGTCTCCGTCTGTGGTGATCTTGGAACA